CACACACACACACACACACACACACACACACACACACACACACACACACACACACACACACACCAGCAATCAGGAAAAAATAAAAAAAAACAAAAATCCCTTTTTTTATGGTGTTTCTTTTGATTTTAATACTTGTTTTTTTTGTTTTCTATTTTTAAAAAATAACAAAAAGCATCAAAATCCGAAAAAAAAACATGGGGATGTAGGGAATTTCAAACCCTACAACCCCATTTATTATTATTTTTTTTTGGCCTATCATTTTATTTTTAAAAAATCCCCGGGTTTCACGCCTGCAGTCGGCCGCGGGGGTCGACTGCCACGGGCGGGGTCCCGACCGCATGCGGCAAAAAAGCCCGCGGTCATGACCGCGGGTGATACAAAGCTTACCAGGCAAAAAATGTTTCCTGTTCCAGTGCTCCTAACTACTTACCAATGTTACCATTGAACTTTTCTGTGCCCCATGTTCATTGAATTTCATGATTTGGTTATTAACCAATGCCCAATGCATGCTTTCATTGCTTCCACATCATGATTGGCGGCTTGGGAAAACAAAATGAAGCGTCTGGACGGCAAGGATGTACTTCGATCGGATCGGATAGTCGCTTTGCAGGTATAATATTCTGCACTGGCTACAGTGGCTAGTGCTTTTTTCTCTTTTTTCTTTCTTGGTTCTTTAATGATCTTCGTACTGCGCACATGAGCCACCGGCCTACAGGAGAACAAACATCTGTGCACCGTGCACCCCTAATTTTTGTTTAAATTTGTTTTGTTAAATTTGTTTCCTTTCCCACTCGTGGGCCCTGGCACCCCATGAGAAACCCAATCTCCTTTTTTTATATATATATCGTCAAATAGAACTGCCCGGTAAACCGTATATATAAAAGCCCAGGTTGTTGTAGAGGTGGGATACTAGACCAATGACAGTTACCCACAGCACTCGGTCACTCAGTTGTCCAGCTGAATCCCTCTGAAGACCCCACCCACCCTTCAGTTACCCACAACACTTGGTCACTCAGTTGTCCAGCTGAATCCCTCTGAAGACCCCACCCACCCTTCCTATTATCCTGTCTCTTATACACATCTAGATGTGTATAAGAGACAGCCCTGAAGATATTGATAATGAGGATGATGATGACAACCCACTCACCTGCTGATGCGAAAGGCGAATGATGCCTTGAAGAGCAAACTCTAATGATAACAAATTAATAATGATGATAAT